CTTCATCAGTTCCTGGCCTCACCTAGGAGACTTGTCTAGGAGGGGAGGAGAGGAACAGAGAGCAGCAAGGGTCTTCTAGTGCTCCCTGCTCTGCCAGTGTCCCAATAGAACAAACTATGTGGATTGGGGAAATCTCATCTTGCTTTGCCCTGGTGTTTATTCTTAGTTCTTCTGTTCACTGGGTCATTCACTCAGTCATTTTGTATCACGCCTCTAATGTGTGCCAGGCCCTGGAGAGGTGGCCCGATAGTGACTGGTGCCCCCACAGAGCTCATGGGCAGTGGGAGGCAGATAGGAAATAGGTGGTTACAGGTGCCCTGAGAAGGAAGCCTGAAGAAAGACTTCTGACCCATATTAGTGGGTGGGAACCTGTGTCTTCCAGATACAAACAATGATCTTTAACGAAGGCTTGTCCACATACTTCTTTGGTGGGGGTTGACCCCTGGTAGAAGGGGTGAGAGGTCTGAAGAGGAGGAGGACGTGTCTGTCCTCACTCTAGGGGGCCACCAATTTCCCAGGGACTCCCATACACCAATGCCTTTCCTTCTCATTTCAGATGAACCCCAAGAAAGACAACTCAGAAACAACCCTAACTCGCAGGTGGGCGGCCTGGAGGCTCTGGTTCTTTCCTATTTGGCCATATTCAGGCTATTTTCTGAGTACCTGCACCTGCCCTCCTTGTGCCAGGCTGTGTGGTAGGGTACATGAGAGGAAGGTGCAGTCCTTGCCCAGGGCTCCAGATCTGGCAGGGGGATGGGATTAACAGGATGGACTCAGTCAGGATGAGATGGAACAAGGACGGGGAGGGATCAGGGAGAGCTGCTTGGAGGAGGCAGGGCTTGGGTGGGGCCCCAAAAGGGGATTAAGGGTTTAGCCTTGAGGTTAGGAGAGGGAAAGGGGGCTTTCTGGGAGGGAGACCATGGACAGTGTAAGGGAGGGGAAGCCCCTGCTCCAGCAGGCCTGGTTGGGGGGCTGTGGATCTGCAGGTTTAACAAGGATTCCTGGGCTCAGTGGTGTTGATGCAAGTAGCCTGAGGGCAATGCTTTGAAATAAAAAAGCAAAACTGAAATAGGATCTGAGAAGCAGATGTGCTTGTGTGTTAGGAATGTCATCCGCTCATGCTGTATTCATCTGCCCTATGAACATTTACTGGAGCCTACTACACTAGGCTAGGCTTGGGGTGGAGGAGGAGGAATGCAAAGACAAATGACACAGCTGCTGTCCTCAAGCAACTCATACCCACCCAGTGAACCTATAGCAGTTCTCTCAAACATGATACCATTACATACTGGCCAACCAAGGAGGGACGGGGACACAGGAATATGAACCCAGGGCTAGGAGCTCAGGAGTAGCTGCACCTGCTCAACCTGTGAGAGCTGGGGAAGGTTGGAGCAATCGATTTTCCATGAACTAGTAGGAAATTTGCACGTGTAAAACTGGAGGAATAGTGTTTAAATAGAGGGAACAGCATGTGAAAAGGCAGAGTGAAGAGCATGGTGTCCAGCTGGCCAGCACACAGGCATACTCTTGGGGAGGGAAGGGGAGGGCCCAGATCACTAGAGCCTTGTGTGCTGTGCCAAGGCCTGCGAGGTCCGAGCTGGAAGGACAGGATTAGATTTGAGGTAGGAGCAGCCATGTGGAGAGCTCATGATGGCAGGCTGGAAGAGCAGGTAGGTGGCGATTGCTGTGATGGGGAAGATGGAAAGGAAGGGCCTGCTTCGGGAGGTGTTTTGCAGTGGAAATGACAAGGTATGGAGGAGAAGGGAAGGAGGGACATCTTGGGGGGGGATGTCCTGTTGTATGGGACGTTTCTTGGGAGTGGAGGGAAATCCCTGGAGTCTGTAAGTTCCTCACCGTGGCTGAGTCAGCACAGCCTGCTGTGTGATGGAGGGCCACGTTTCTCTTGGCCACAAAGAGAAAGTGTGATGGGGCTGCTTCTCAGGCCATGGGGGCAGGCCTGGTCTGCCTGGGTGTCTCACTTGGCTCGCCTGTTCCATCTTCCATCCTGCAGTGCCAGTATGAAGCTCCCAGCCAACACAGTGAAGTTGGGAGAGAAGCTGGAGAGATACCACACAGCCATACGGGTGGGTGGGGGCTTCTCCCGAGGGGTGGAGGGCAGGATGAGTGGTGGGCATCGCCTTTGCCCCTCCTCGGCGTGGGTCAGCTGTTGGTGTTCTTGGTTCCCAGAGATCAGAATCTGTCAAGTCTCCGGGTTCCCCTCGCACTGAGTTATTCGTGGCTCCTGTGGGTGTAGCCAGCAAGCGTCACCTCTTTGAGAAGGAACTGGTGGGCCAGAGCCGAGCAGAACCAGCCTCCAGCCGGAAGGTGAGGGGCTCAGGCCCCACCAGGGTCCTTAGGGTGATTAGCCCTGACATCTCCAAAACCTAAATCTTGGCTGTGGCAGTGCTGGAAAACTGTGTTTTCATGTGTCAATTAATGTTGGCAGAACCTTCACTTGAGTTCCCATTCACGTTCCTGAGCCCGTCTCCTTAGCTGGGCACACAGCTCCCCGGGAGAAGGGGAGGGGGCTGTCCCAGGCATATGTGGCACATGCTGGATGCATATGGGAGTGAGGGAGAGTCCTATCCCATTCCAGGGCTTCTGAACATGCCTCGCTGCTGCCAAGGGCCCCAAACCCTGAGATGGAAGGTTCTCTTTTTAGGAGAACTTGAGGCTCTCAGGGGTTGTGACATCAAGACTCAACCTGTGGATCAGCAGGACCCAAGAGTCTGGAGATCAGGACCCCCAGGTACCCTGGCCCTTTCTGATGTCTCTTACTGTGGGGCCATTGCGGTGGGATGATTGGGGACAGAGGAGGGACAGTGGGAGATGAGGAGTCATTTCAGGAGTAGAAACAGTGGGGGATGGATGGGTATGTGGCTCAGACTCTGGCAGAGTGAAGGGGTGGGTCTGGGTTCCTTTTTTCTTATGGGAAGAGAAAGGACATCCTGGGCTGGGAGCTGGGCCTGGGGGATCCTGAGCCCTTCGGAGCCTGGTCTTAGTCCCTGATCTCCACCCTGATACCCTCAATCAGGAGGCACAGAAAGCGTCATCTGCTACCAAGAGGACTCAGTGGGGACAGAAATCTGACTCCTCGTTGGATGCTGAGGTGAATGGTGGGGAGGGGCCTGACCCTATAGCAGAGGGCCACAGTGCACTGTGGGAGACCCCATCACCCCCGTGTGCACACATTAATTGGCCTGCGATCACACAGTCTACCCAAAACGCCCCCATCCCTGCTCTTGCAGATTGGTCTGAGCCAACCGTGAGAACAAGGTTGAGCCCTCAGCTGGTTTCGCTGCCTGCAGCTCTCAGAGCCTCTGTCCCTTCAGCTGGCAGATTGCAGGGCTCTGACTCATTGTGGGTGTGGGGCTTGGGCAAAGAGATGCCTTCCTATCCAGTGGCCCCCTTCCCCTTCCATCCCTGAGCACCCCATTGCCTTGTGCTAACAGCTCTTTGCCCCACAGGTGTGACAAGCCCTGCCAAGACAGACCTGCAAGTCTTCATCTCAAGGGGCCTCCCTCATGCCAGGCCCCTGCCTCTCACAGCAGCACCCCTTCCTCTCATTGCCTCTGTTCCCTTTTTGCCTCTGGATCTGTTTGGCCAGGGCCCTGGGGTCAGGAATATTTGCAAGACTCAGCCAGTTCCTTCCCAGCCCAGCCTCTTGGGGCTGGGACCTTCTCACCCCACGGCAGGCACAACAGATGCTGGGACCCAGCCTCTGCCCAGGGCACAGCACAGATGCACATCAGCACTATGGGGCCTACATCCTGCCCAGAGACCTGCTCCTTCCTGCTGACATCCAGGGTCAGGGCACGGCGTCCCTCAAGAACTCCAGAGTCACCTGTCTCATCTGCTCCCAGCAAGTGCCTCTGTGTCTGTGATGTCCCCTTCACTGAGGTCTGGACCCACCCATCTTTGTCCCTGGGGCCTGCTCCCAGCCACCGAGGCCCACTCTGGCCAGATGGGGAAGGAGCTGCCATGCATCTTCCCCGTGGCCCATCTCCCTGCTTGGTTCTCCCTTCCCTTCCCTGGCCTGCTGCCCTGGCCAGGAGCTAAGTGCCTTTTTGTGTGCAACCACTTCCCCTTTCTCTGAAAATCCTATTCTCAGGAAGGATCTGATAAACTCATTCACTCTCAGGTGTAAGTGACTGATGAGACCTGAAAAGCGAATTCCTCTCTAGAGGCCTTGCTTTCTAGCAGAGGTCATCTGAAGTGTGTGAGGAGGATCATCATCTTCCTCATCTCCCCTCTTCTCACATTAAGGTGGTGGCTTGCCACTCAGCAGTCCTAGCTTGGTGACTGGGGAACTGCCACATACAGGGCCAGGCCTACCCTCCTCCCCCACAAGCCCCCTCCAGCCCCCACCCCCATGCTCGGACATCATGGCCCCTATGAGCTTGGAGAATGAACCATCAGAGAATCTAGAACCAACCAAGCTAGGAACATCAGCCTGGTGCCCTGTTAACCCCTTAAAGCTGTGGTTTACAACTTTTCAAAAATTTAAATCATTAGAACTCTCTGTCTTGATTGACTGCTCTAGTTTTACCCAGAATCAGCTGGGGATGCGGCCAGGTGCAGAGCCCCCTGCCCACTCCCCCTTTGCATGCCTGGGGAAGCTCCAGGTCTTTTTGGAACATGACCCTTAACACGGCTCCTAAGGGTATCATCAGTCCAGTTCCCCAGGTGTGTGGGGTATCAGCCCTACCCCTGCTCTGTGACTCTGGGTGAGGGCTCCGCAGATCTGCCCCAGGGGACAGGCCCTCAAAGTGCCATCTGTGCAGAGGTCCCAGTGCCCCAGGCTGGCCCACCTCTGGCCAGTGAGTCTCCTGTGCCCGAGTAAGGGATATAGGAACCTGGGGGCCCTGTCCCGAGCACCCCCCACCCACTGCTAGTGCTGGGGCTTTGTGAGTGTTCCAACTTCACAGCTAAGAGTTGGAGGACAAGGGTGGGCAGGGCCGAGGAATGGAGTGAGTCCTGCCTGGAGCCTCGGGACATCTAAACGGCTCTGGGTCTGCCCAGACCTCAGGTGTGACCCTGAGCCATTTCTTCTCTGAATCTCAAGCAGATGACCTCAGAGGACTTTCACATGTTCATGCCATGATAGGTGAACTTTTCCAGTAAACAAAACTGTCCCCACCCAGAGTCAGGAGAGCCTCCTGGAAGCCTTCCCCAGGCAGGGCCCCACCCTGGAGTAAAAGCCTCGGAGGACACTGAGGGGCCTGTTCCTGCAGCTGCAGCCTCAGCAGGGCCCTTCATGCCTGCACCCCCTTCCCCTGGAGTGCCCAGTGAGGGCTGGCTGCTAGGGGAAATGTCAGGGGGTGCCACAGCACAGCCCCCTCCCCTGTGAATCCAATACGGGAGGGCCCTGCCCTTGTTCCTATTGGGGACGCAGCCAGTAAACAAGGAGACCAGGGTGTGCCCAGGATGACCTCGGCTGGGGATAGATGAGTGGTAGCGACTGGATGTCCAGGCAGGTGGGGAGGCCTCTGGATGGGTGACATTGGGCACCCTCTGGAGACAGAACACCACTCCTGGCTGTACCCTCCTGCTCTTGCCGTTGGGGCCCTGTGACCCTACAAGTGGCCCGTCCTGTTGTGGATCCTCAAATTTACATGCACTGTTTAAGCATAAGCTTCCCATTCCACTCTGGCTTTGTTTTCTCTTTACATCCCTTTGCAAGGACAGGAATATCAAAAAAATGGGCTGAGAGTAACCCTGCTATGCCCAGGAGTGGCTGCTGCATGGGGGCTGGATTTCTTCATCTGAGTAGCTGTCTCACAGCGCTCTGAACAAAGCTCCTGCCTTAGAACAATTCGAAGCTGTACAGGTGTGGCCTATGACACTAAGGATCTACTGGGCTTTTCCCATGGGGCTCTATAGTGATCTAGGTGCCCAGACCCCTCTTCTAGGCATCCATGCAAATAAACTGTGGCCTGTTTGAAAGTTTATTGGGCTTACAAGGAACAGTAACCCACCCTCAAGTTAAAAAAGGGTTTGGGAAAAGTAATTCCAAATTCTACGTTATTCCAGGCCAGGACCCGAGGCAAGGCTGGGTCCTGCTTCATGGGCTAGACCGGGGGAGAGAGTTGATAGGGCTCCCCCCACTTTCTTCTGGATGGCCTGGCTCCTTCCTCACCATCCCTCGGGAATCTCTCCCCTCCATCTGCCTGTCTCTCTACAAAGTCTCCCTACTTCCCTGTGGTCCTCCTCAGTCCCATGATGCTGGCCAGCAGGCGGTTGGCTTCAGCTTGCCCTGCCACAGAGCTGGCAGTGTGGAGACCCACGTGGCAGGGGATAAGCCTGGAGCTGGGCAATCAAGGCCACTGGACTCAGAGGCCACAGGGAACTATGGAGGGGACGGAGTCAGCTGAGTGATGGGACAAGAGTCTAACAGCAGCATGGGTATGGAGCAAATGCAAGTCCCCTGTGCAGAGGACCTTTTCAAGGGCATTAGTGGTGGAGGCAGCATAGTAACTCCCAAGGTGGAGGGTTTGAGAGAAGAGTTTGAGGACTGGGAAGGTGGGACACATGACTGGGTGATGGGAGAAGAGGGCAGAGAATAGCGAGATTGCTTTCTTCGCCCACAGAGAAACAGAGGAGTGTGGATCATGAATGGGCAAGATCTTTAAGTGCCAGGGGGGTCATGGGGGAGGGGAGGGCCTGGTCCAGAGGAGGACCATTCCTGCTTCAGAGTCAAGCAGGACCTAGGCTGTGAAGATTCAGAGTGAGATGGAGGGGAGAGTCAGCTCAGCTGCCCACTGGCTTGCGTTCCGCCTGTCTCTTTCATTTTCATAATCTACCGAACCCTGCAATGGGCCAGCCCTGAACGTACAAGTGCATGTGCATGGTCAGACACAGGCAAGCAAGCGAAAGCCCGGGGCCTGACACATGCATCTGCAGTCTAGCAGGTTTAGCAGGTCATAGTCCGGCACTGTTTGATTTTAAAGCCGTTAGGGGATGACCTTCGAGAGTCCGCATCACCCGTCTCGCACAATGAGCCGCCTGTTCAAGGTTCTTGACTGGAAGTTCTACCTTGTATCTGGCTGCCCGTAGCGGTTTAAGTCCATTCCCTGTGAGGAGGGTGTGCCACATGGCTTTGGGGGTCATGGAGAAGACCCACCTTGCAGATGCCCTCACGGAGGCTGGCAGAGCCGGCCACCTGCCCAAGGCTGCTCAGCCCATTCATTAGGAGCTGGTAGCCTGGAAGGTGTCTTCATCCCCAGCATCGGTTCCAGTGGAGCAGCACGTAGCTCTTGCCCTCTGCCTTCCAAGATTCTGGTGCTGAGACTTACAGAGTGTCTTGGAGGTTACCTTCTGCCCCCCAACCCTGTTCCCAGCCAGCCCTCCCAGGCCTGGGTTTCTGGCCTCTGCTTTATCAGGATTCTCAAGAGGGACAGCTGGTTTATGTTGCATGACTGTTCCCTGCATATCTGCTCTGGTTTTAAATAGCTTATCTGAGCAGCTGGAGGACCACATGGGCTTATATGGCGTGGGGTACATGTTCCTGTAGCCTTGTCCCTGGCACCTGCCAAAATAGCAGCCAACACCCCCCACCCCCACTGCCATCCCCCTGCCCCACCCATCCCCTGTCGTGCATTCCTCCCTCCGCAGGGCTGGCTCACCAGGCCCCAGCCCACATGCCTGCTTAAAGCCCTCTCCATCCTCTGCCTCACCCAGTCCCTGCCGAGGCTGAGCAGACGCCTCCAGGATCTGTCGGCAGCTGCTGTTCTGAGGTAAGGCTCGGGCAGGGCTCTGGGGAAGAGAAGAACAGAGAATGGACGGGGAGATGTGAGGGTCTTGGGCCCTGGCATCTTTACCCAGAGTCTGCCTGTGTCTGCAGAAGTCCATGGCCCCTCCTGGTGGAAGTCACACTTCAGAGGAGGGGTTGCCAGGACTGGGCTCCAAGATTGGTACAATAGAGCAGAGAGAGAGAATCCCATGTGGCCATTGGAGACCAGGGTTGGAGTTCTGGACCTGCCACTAAAGATGTAGAGTTGTAAACTCTTGGGTGAGGCACTTTCCCTCCCCAGGCCTCAGTTTTCTCATCTGTAGAGTGGGCTAAATATTTGCTAGGCCTCTGCCTGCTCTAAATACAATGAGGCTCTAACCAATAGGGACTCCCCCAGATTGCTTGTTCCAGGCCGAGGGTCACCTATAGCACTCCAGGCAGGTCCTTCTTGAGTCCCAGAGAGCAGAGTGAGACTGCAGCCCTGTCAGTCAGGTGAGTCCCCTGGTCATATTCTCAAGGCCAGGAACTCAGAAACTGTCCTGGAAGCACTGAGAACCACCAGATGTGCAGGGTCCACTGCAGCGCCTCTCCAGGCCGACGCAGGAATTCCATTTGATGCCACTGACTCAGTGCCATTCCCTCCCAGAGAGGACCCTGAACTGAGCTGCACTTGAGGGGCAGATGGGGAAAGGCCTCACTGGGAGAACCTCCCCTTGGGTGTGAGCCCAGCTGGTTGGCATTAAAGGGTTTAACCTGGGTCCCTGTAAGCGTAACCCTTGTCCCATCCCACCCCAACACCCCATCTTGGGACAGGCCTTGCTCTGTGCCCAGGAGTGGTAGAGAAGGATTCCCTTGGTTTCTAGTTTCTCCTGGGCAGGCTGAAGACTATTCGGGCAGGGGGTTGCCTGGTGTGTAAGGAATTTCAGAGCACATTCCCGGCCTGCTGTAGCCAGGAAGCTACCTGCCCTCCCAAATTCCTTTTCTGACCCATGTCTTAGAGGGCGAATCTTCCTTCTCTCTGCAAAAGTGGAATCTGAGAGGATCAGGTTGCCTGTTGCCTCCTACTTTCTGCCCGCCACTTCCACTCCTCCTGCTCTCTCCCCATCCCCTTACCCCCGCTCTCCTGGTGGGCTAACAGCTGTTGGCTCAGGAAAATCCCAGTCGAATGCTGGGGACAAGGACTGAGGGGTGGGGCCTGTGCTTCTCAGAAACTCGGAGACTGTTTCTACAAGGACAGAACTCAAGGCTCTTCTGTTTTATAGTTGGTTAACTGAAGTCAGAGAGGCTAGGTGACTTAAATAAGGCCACACAGCAAAATCTGGGTTTTAAGCCCAGATTTTTTGACCCCAAGGTCAGTATGCTTTATGCCTTCTATTGTCTTTGCTTCACTCTCCAAGAAAGGTGACCCTGATCTCTTGGCTGTGAATGTGTTAGGCTAGAAAGCTGCCTGTGGAAGGGGGTGGGACTTGGGTGTGAGGACACAGGTGTTTCAAGACATTCTGGGACCCTTGCCCTGCCAGGTTCTTGACCCTCTCCCATTCTGCAGCCTCCAGTCTCAGCCCACCTCTTTCCTCTGCATCAGGTCCTGCCTTTGAGCCACTGGCGTGGTGGTGTCCTCTGGGCTGGCTGAAAGCCCTCCTCCATCCGCCATGTCTGCGTGCTATTTTTGGGAGCTGGATGGTGCTCCCAGGAACAGGGAGAGGAGTCCAAGCGCTCTGTCCTCCTGTGAGCCCCCAGCACCATGCCCAGTGGCTCTGAACTGGTGGAAGGGCAGAATAGGAGAGGAGAGGGAAAGCTAGAAGCTATTCACCCAGGCTGGACATGCACGGTTCCTCTGAGAATTTTCTCCCTCCCACTGAGGGACAGGCTCCTTCTGGGGCTCAGGCAGGAGCTCCTCAAGTTCTCAAGTCACTAGTTCTGGTGGCTCCTCTGGGGCTTTGGGTAACAGTTGTCACCCCCACCCATCCTGGGGTTAGGAAGGCTATTCTCTTTGGCCACGCTCGTCCTAAGACCCATTTGGAGACTCTCTGGGGTTTGAGTCTTTTTTCCAGCAGAATGAGGCTTGATCCCCCATTATAGCACCTCGCACACTTGACGTCTCTTTTGCTCACCTACCCACCCCACCCTGGGGGTTGGGGCAAAAAAGTGGCTCAGAGCTGTGGTTCAGAGCTCCTTGTAAACAAGGCTCCTCCCTCACTGTCCTCATCCTGCTCCAGCAGAGGGAGCAGGGGAGGGACCACTGTGCTGCAGCTGTGCTTGTTTCTAACCCAGCAGGACTGGACATAATGGGAACAGGGTCTGAAGGCTGTCAATCCAGGGCTGCAGTGGGTGCTGAGTCTGGGGAAGTCTCCACCTAGAGGGGCAGCTGGGCAGTGGCAGCTGCCTTGGAATGGCTCAACCTCAAAGAGGCTGCCTTACGGCAGTCATCACCCCACCCAACCAGAGCCCTGGCTCTTGCCTGATGTCCACAGATGAGTGTCTGGGTTGGTCTCAGCCACTCTGGGGGGTGTGCAGGGAGAGGTGGTGAGGGAGTGAGCAGGACTATCTATGTGCCTCTGGCCTCATCCTGAGGCTTGGGTCTGAAATTAGTGCTGCAGCGCTGGCAGGCATTGAGTGGCGCAGGAGGCGGGCAGCAGAGGAGGAGCATTGGAGGGTGGTCCTGCCATCATTCTCATTCTTCTCCCACCTCACTTCAGCCTCACTGTCACATCACCCCGTCCATTCTCTCCCTTGGAAGCCAACATCAGGGAGGCTGTGGGGCTGGCATATTGCACTACAACAGAGGCTGCTGCTCACGTTTCAAACAACGTGATTGTGTCCCTGGAGCAGTGCACTGTCATGGCCCAGGAGGGCTAGGTCATAGCAGTTATTAGCTAAATGCCTACACTTCACACCAGCTCTGTTCCTCACACCTACCCAAGAAGAGCAGCAATTTCACAGCAAAGGGAGCTGAGATGTAGGGAGGTTAAGTGACCTTGCCAAGGTCGCAGGCAAATGCATGCTGGAGCCAGCATTCAAAATGAGATTAGTCTCACACTCAAGCGCTTGCTGTCTGCCCCCTCCCTGTGATTACACGCGCACTGTAACACCTGACATTGCCTAATGCCTTCCCCTTTTGTTAATGTCAGCTGGAGCCTCATAAAGACCCTGAGTAGCCAGGATGTGTACACTTTATCTCCATGAGACAGAGAAAGGGCTGAGGTTTGGAGATGTTAAAAAGACTTGCCTAAACACCCTCAGCAAGCTAATGGAAGAGGATCTGAATCTAGATTATCTGTTCCCAGTGAAGTGAGAAGATGATCTCAGAATGAGTTCCCTGGGGGAACATTTTTTAAATCGGAATTTCATTGAGATAATTAAAGACTAATATGCAGTTGTCTTTAATAGCGAGCCCTTACACACTGTGCCCAGTTTCTCCCAAGGGCAACATTTGCAAAACTAGTACCATATCAAAACCAAGATTGGACATCAATACAATCTATGATCTTATTCAGATTTGCCCACAATTGCACCTTGTGTGTGAGAAACTCTAAACAACTTTAACCTGTGTAGGTTCATGTATCCATCACCATAGTCGACATACTGAAAAGATCCCAAACCACAAGGATCCCTTCTGTGTGCTTTTATTTATTTATTTATTTATTTATTTATTTATTTATTTAGAGATAGGGTCTCTAAATAAATTTCGTCCAGGCCGGTCTCTTGGGGTGCCCAAATACCTTTTGTCCAGGTCTCACTTTTGTCCAGCACAGATGAAATGGGTGTGGTGGCTCACGCCTGTAATCTCAGCACTTTGAGAGGCTAAGGCAGGAGGATCCCTTGAGCCCAGGAGTTCGAAACAGCCTGGGCAATGTGGCAAAATCCCAGCTCTACTACAAATACAAAAATTAGCTGGGCATGGTGGTGCACAACCATAGTCCCAGCAACTCAGGAGGCTGAGGTGGGAGAATTGCTTAAGCCCGGAAGGTTGAGGCTGCAGTGAGCCTTTGTGCAGTGAAGATTTGTGCAGTGAAGATTTGTGCAGTGCCAAACAGATCCTGTGGAGTGGGGGTGGGCGGAGTGGACGGAAAGGGTGAGAAACTGCAGACATTGTCTTGAGTGTCACAGATGGAAACGCAGCATCCCAGGCAATGTTGCCTGTTCAGGGGCAAGGAATGAAGTGGACGTCATCAGGTGGCCTTGCTGCCATGCGGGTGTCACTATCTCCCCTGACAGGGGAGGAAAGAGGCTTTTTGTTGCAGGTCGCACAGCTCATAAGGGGTGGAACTAGATTCAGCCCAGGCCTCTCTGATCTCTGTAAAACAGGGGCCAGAACTCTTCTGAGGAAGGCAGGCTTCCCTTTGCACCTGCACTGACATTTTTCTCTTTTTGGAGGGAGAGCAGAGACCATGTCTGACACGGAAGAGGTGGTGGAAGAGTATGAGGAGGAGTGAGTATCTGCAGCATCCTGCCTGAGTGGGGTCCCCTCCCCCCGCTGCCCTGACGCCTGGTCCAGGAGCCTCCCAGCTGTCCTAGGATTCTGGGTAGAAGTAGCTATGTGTGTTTTGGGCACCCTGGGGAGAGATATAGCCATTTCCTTTCCACTCCTGTACCCCTGGGTTATAGATCACAGGCAGAGCACAGGCCGAGGGACTTTGGGAAGCACAGGGGTTCAGCTCTAGGGTCTTTGGGGTCCTTGGCCAGTCCTGGCTAGGTGACTGGCCATGAACAGAGAAGCTGAGACGTTGGGTCTCCTGAAACTGACTGAGGAAGGTTCAATGACTCTGTAGAGGCCACAGAGCTGATTGTGCTCCCCAAAACCCAGCTCAGAACCCAGTGTTATCACCCTGTCTTGGATCCCTCCTCTCCCTGACAGTGCCCTGCCCACAGTCCTGTCCCAGAGGGAAACCAGGGGGCGGGACACAGCCAATCCAAAAACTACGGAGGATAGTGGTCACCAGGGAGGAGACAGAGGTATAGGCACAGCTCCTGCCCTCACAAAACTTACTATCTTGTTGAGATATGAAGACATAAACTGGGGGAAGAAATTAGCAAATGGGACCCGGTGTGGAGAGCAGGCTGTTGGTAGTGCAGGAGTTCTGAGGAGAGGGAGATCAGGGGCTGGAATAGTCAGGGGGCTGTGTGGAGAAGGCAGGTCCTACCTGTGTAGAATTTGGAGAGATAAGAGATTTGGGAGAGTGCAGGACTTTCTAGAAAGGGGTATAGCCTGGGCAAAGATGGAAAGAGTAAGTGAGCAGAAAGCTGGTGAGACGAAGCTGGCCGGGGCGGAGGCTTGCCGAAGATGGTAGGAGGCAGCCCTGCATGAGAAGGGCAGGCCAGGCTAGTGGGTGTCATTGCAAGGTGGGCAGGGCAGCATGGACTCCACTAGCCAACAAGGGGAAGAAAAAGGGGGATTATCTTTGGGGAAAGGCCAGTGTGTGCAAGCCTGTGCGTGCATGTGTGTGCATGCATGTGTACATATGTGTACAGGCATGTGTGTTTGCATGTGCGTGTGTGCGAGCTAATAACAGTGTTTCCTGTTGCTCTCAGGGAGCAGGAAGGTAAGCGTAAACGTGTGTACTCATTTGGATCAAAGACAGCCTGGTTTGAAACTGACCCACCTCTTCTCTCTTCTCTTGCTGCCTGGACTTCTCTTCTGAGCAGAAGCAGCTGTTGAAGGTATGTACCCCAGGCAGATGGAGAGCCAGAAAGGGGCAGGCTCAGGAATGTGGAAATCCTGGGAGCCCTGGGAAAGCAGCTCATCTGTCCCTGCTCCTCACTCTCAGCTCAGCAAGATCCTCTAACAACGGTGCCTTCTAAAATGGGAATCAGTCCTATCTGGGTTGCTCGGGTCTTGAGGCAAACAATTTAAACCTGTCTCTTCTGTCTGTCATTTGCTTCAAACCCAATGACCACTTTTCCCAATTATTTTTGCTTCTTTTCCCTTTTATCATGGGAAATTTTAAATGCATATAAAGGTAGCAATAATAATAATAATGCTCCCCCTGCCCAATGTACCCATTACCAGCTTCAACAATCATCATCTTAGGGCCAATCTTCTTTCCTCCATACTCCGCCTTTCCCCAGTTATTTTAGAGCAGACGTCCAAAATTGTTCCCAGGCACCATGTCATTTCATGCTTCAAGATTTCGCTACACTGTATCTCTAAGAGATAAGTACTACTTAAAAAACATAACCACAATGCCATGATACACCCTGAAAGATTCCATTTAGTAATTTCTCGAATGCGATTGTGAGTATGAAATTGCTCAGTGATCTGAGAAGTCTTATCTCGGCATGAAGCTTTGTTATGACTCTGAGCTTGCAGAGGCCCCTCTTGCTGCTCCTATTCTGATCAGTTAACCCATTGCCCTCCTCAGCTGTGGGTCCCACATCTCTCTGAAAGAATGCCCTCACTTTTCCTTCTTCCTGAGAGCTTGGTGCATGGAAGTGATTCAGAGGCTTCATGCCAGTCCTCCCTCTACACCCCAGGCAGGTGGACCCTGCCTTTTAGTGGCTCAGGTATCACTTCAGCATGTGGCGTGTAGACATTAGGAGAAGGGTCTCTATGAAGGTCCAAGGGGGGAGCTCAGATGGCCCCTCCTTTGCTCCCATGGCTCCTAGGGAAAATGGAGACCCTCCTGGACATTTAGGGCTGTTCCGGGGATGTCTAGCCAAAGAGGAGACAGAAGAGAAAGTCACAGGAGAAACTGAAAGAGGTCACAGGCATCTTTTATGGTTTTCAAAGAACACCAGATACTTCAGAAGCTATTGGAAATATATTTTTGAATCAAAAATCTAGCTGGTTCCAAATTCTGCTGTGTTCCCTGAACAGACTCTTGATATGGTGGCCCTTCCTTTGTTTTGGAGAATTTCCCACTTCCTTGTAACAGGTTTGGGGTGGTGGGGTTAGTGACATAGATCTCTTGATTTGGGACCAATCTGCCTGCCACACACGGTAGAATTTGGCTGTGAGTTAACAGCGTCATTCTCCACTGCACTGGGGTCTGAGCCATGTAGCATCTGCCTTGCTTGCCGTGAATAGATGAGACCCGCCTCCCACACAGCTGAGGATCTGGCTGCAAATAATCAAGAGAGAGCAACCTCTAGATGGGTGTCCACTAAGCCTGCAGGATAGATAGTGCCAAGTGTCCCTCTTCCAGGAGAGGAATTGTTCCACTTGCTGGAACTGTTTTTTGGGCAGATATTTGTACATAGAACAACTATTGTAGATGCAACCTCTTTCCTTAGGGTTATAATGCTGGACCCTTCTCAGATGGGGCAGCCTCCTCCCAAAAGGCCGGGCAAATCTCCCCTGGGGCCAGGCTCTCCAGTGAGCCTTTCTAAAGTGTGGCTTCTGGAAACTGGACATGGTTTGCAGAATACCCAAGAGCCTCATTCAGAGCAGGAACATGGGCATGCTCGTTAAGGGCAGGAAATTTGATGGGAGTGAATTATCCCCCACTCTCTGCTCTTTAGGGGCCTCTGTCTTCGTAAGAAGGAAGCCAAGGCTCTGTCGTCTAGAGGCAGTGCAGTTACCACAGATAGCGTGCTCCTCCTATGCCAGGCACCTGCTGGGCGCTCTATGCGTGCTAGGTCATTCAGTCCTCACTAGGGCTGAGAAGTGAGTAGAATGATCCCCATTTTACTGATGAGGCACCTGAGGCTCAGGGAAGCAACTGAGAAGAGAGTTGCCCCTGTTGCTGGAAAGTAGTGGCTTGGGAATTGGAACGCTGGCCTAACTCCAAAGCCCACACTCTTAAAACCACTGCGCTGGGTGGCTGCTCCTGCCCTGGGCTCTCTGCTCCTAGACTAACCTGTCTCGCTTTTCCCCTCCGCTGCGGCCACTCCCTGAACCTCAGAAGAGGAAGACTGGAGAGAGGACGAAGACGGTAGTACAGCCTTTCCTTCTGTGGTGCTTTCTGCTGCCTGCTGTCCCGAGTACAGCCTGCTTGTCCAGGGGCCCTGCTCTGGGGGCTAGGGGGTGGGAGTTGGGGTCAGGGATGGAGTGGGTCAGTCGTCCCAGGGACCAGGATCACAGTTCCGAGTTGCTCATCATGCCTGACCCTCAGGGCCACTGGCTCCTCTTCCTGGTTCCTGATCCTTTCCCTGGGCTGGGCGGTGGGAGGGACCCAGGTTGGCTGGTCTCCCAAACTGCTCCAAATGTGGCCATAGAGGGGGCCTGGCATCTGGAAGCCAGCAGCGCCACTCTGCCCCCGCGCACATCCCAGTGTTCCGTGCTTGGCGCTCCTTAGGAGCTGGACAGCGCCAGGCAGGGTGTCCAGGGTGTTGATTGGGGGGTCTGGGGACAAAGTCCTCTGGTGAACAGCCAGGGAGACTGGAAATAGCCAGAGCAGGAAGGACATGACGTCAGCCTTCAGATGCGCCCTGCTGATGGGGAGCACAGGACCAAGACAAGGGAGTGAGACCAGGGCGTCATTTTAGAAAGTGTGTCCTGACAGCGATATCTCAAGATGCAGTAGGTGTGCTGGGGAGACAGTAAGCTCCTCATCCTTGGGATGTGGCATGGCCACTGGGTGGGGTGGGGTATATTGTACGGAGAAGTGACATGCCAGATGAGGTGGCAGAGGTGCGAACAGGATGGCCTAAAGGTGAACCCCACAATGGCCATGTCCTTCCTCGCTAGCCCTCTGCTTTCACACCTAGAAGGATCATTTTGAGGCAAGACTCCTGCAGGGATCAAAGAAAAGGTATCTCCAGGCTTCAGAGAGGACTCAGACCTGGGAAGGGAGGACAGAGAGGATGAAGGCCGACCCTTCTCCCATGATGGTGTCTTCCTCCTGCCTGAGGCTTTTTCTTCTCCCTCTGCCAAGAGGCACCCACTTCCCAGTGCATCAGTGAACAGGCATCACAGAACACTTCCTACAGGCAGAGCCCAGGCCAGGCAGCATCTTGTCTCCCTTATCTGTGTCTGTCTGTCTACTCCAAGTGCCTGATTGAGATGGGGGCCACATCCTGCCAAACAAATGGATGAAAATAGAAAAATCCTGTCCACTTTCTGGATAGTATGAAGATCCAGATGTTGGGCGCACCATCCAGCCACACAGTCATACTCTTTTGGTTTCTTTGAAATATGGATTGAGGGTGTCTAGAGTCACTAGGTTCAGGACAGGAGCTTCCGGACACTTCAGCTTAAGTAGGGCATGTTCTGTGGTGCTAGACACGGGGTGGAACTTCTGGGCTGGAAAGTTGGGGAAGGAGGTGGAGTCCTGTCATCAGAGAGGTCTCTGGGATGAGTGGGGCTAAGCTGGGTGGGAGGAGGCAGCTGACAGTCAAAATCAAGAATGGCAGCCCCCTGGCATTCACGTTGGTTGTCCCCAAATTCGTCTGGACCTGGATGTCTTGACCCCCATCCCCACTCCCCACTGCCTGTTCTCTGCTCTGGGTTCTGCCTGATAGCATGAGTGGGGCCTGCTTCTTCACTCTGTCTGCTTCACTTCTCTAGAGCAGGAGGAGGCAGCAGAAGAGGATGCTGAGGATGGGGCTGAAGCAGAGGCTGAGACCGAGGAGACCAGGGCAGAAGGTAAGTCTCTGGATGAGGGTGCAGGGACCTCAGGGAGTGGTGAGAGCCCCCGGAGCCATTCCTGAGGCAGTAAGAAACCCCAGAACAGGCTTTCCCATGTGCACCTGATTCTCCTATTGGCTAAGATTCAACTGTTGATTGCCCAGTCAACAAACGTTGACTCAGCCCTTCTCTTGTGTCAGGCAGAGTCTTGGGTCCAGGGGAATGTGCGTGCGAGACACAGCTCTGTGACCCCAAAAACCAACAGCGTGCATCTTGGCTAGGACTTATTTGTGGGGGAGGCTCTTGGTGGGATGGGGGGACTTGAGCTCAGAACAAGGACCTTGATTGATTTCTCGTGTTTCATTTAGAAGATGGAGAAGAAGAGGAAGCAAAGGAAGCTGAAGGTAAGGATATCAGGAGAGAGGTACAAGAGAGGCAAAGGAGCCCCTCACCGCAGCTTTGGAGGAGAATGCCCACCGTGCTCCTTCCAGGGAAGTGGGTGTGCACTGAGAGGGTTTGGGAGAGGAGAGGACAGAACTTGGTGGCACTTCCGAAGTTTTAGATGTTGAGCTTTAAACTTTGCCCCTTCTCCTCCCAGAGAAGCTGCATTGGTGGCACCCAGTGGGAGAGGGGACCATTGTCCAGCCCCCTGGTCTGGACAGAGCAATGGGACCCAGAAGTCATATCTACACATGAAGCTCCTAGAGCTTAGGTGAAGTCACTTGTAGGATGTGGCATCCGTAGGATGAAATCCCAATGCATAGATGGTCATGGTGGGCCATTGCTGCAGTCATCGTCATGCTGCAGCCTTCACCAGGGTTCTAGGTGGTCCCAGTCACTTCTCCAGAGGGGAGGGGACAACCAGCTGGGGCTTGGAATCATGTCATCAGCTTCTGCCCTGTGGCTACCAGGAAGTCCAGGGGGTAACAAAGGAGGCAAAGACCTGGGAAGGGATTCTAGGGCCAGGACCCCTGGGGACCTTTCCAAAGGAATCCTCCCCACTGTGAAGCCCAAAAGAAGCAAAATTGCTTTGCCCAGAACTGGTGAGTGAGAGAAGGCTTTGTGTGAAATTCCACACTGTGTGAGTGTGTGCCCTGCAGAACTCTATGGGAGAGGGAGTGTGGCATCTGCAGCCCCTGCTGCCTTTGTTCTCCCGGATGTTCCTGGAATCAGGGCTCCCCAGTGCCGGGAGGGACTCTCTGTGCAGCTGGGGAAATGGAAATCCACAGGGGTCTAGCTCATCGAGGGTGGAGTTGGGACTACATCTGGGGCCCCCTGACCCATGGCTGTGTGCTTCTGTCTCCTCCAGATGGCCCAATGGAGGAGTCCAAACCCAAGCCCAGGTGAGTGGGATGCACCTGGGTAGAGCCAGGAGCAGAGGCTCAGGGAGAGAGGATAATGATGGAACAGGAGTGCAGTAGGGGCAGTGGGCATGGGCTGGGGATTTGGTGGGCACAGACCACCACATACAGTTGTACAAGTTGTGTACTGCACAAGGATCTCTTCCTAAGGGAGTGAGGGCTGAATTCCACCCAACACTCCATCACTGATCGTGCACCCTGGCAGGGATGAGGCTGTGTTCTTCTAGAAGAAGAGCCCTGAACAGACACTGTCCTCTCTCACAGTATGGCCAGAACACCTTCCTCCATGGCTGAGGTGGGACCTGGGGATAAAGGGAAGCAAATTGTGGGGAGCTAAACAATGAAACCGTGTCAGCCTAGGCATGGTGGCTTCAGAGAGCTGAGAGGGGGCAGGGCAGGGCAGCTTGGTGCCACACACGTGAAGTCCACCTGGAGGTGGTGTCTGCTGGGGGGCTGGGGTATAGGGAGCATTTCCTTTTTGATGATGCCAACCCTGCCAGCAGACGGCACCTCTTCCCACTCATAGGCTCTTCCCATTTCAGTGGGGGCTTCTGAAACCAGCCCAAGACATCCTAGATCCGTTCATTTGTCCAGTGCCTTTCCCTTTCCTGGCCTCTTGTGCACTGCGGTATCTCATTTCAGCTCCACACAGCTGGGGGAAGATGGAGATACGAAGAATCAGAGAACCCCCAGGGTCTCAGTATGTGTTGGGACCAGGACCAAACTGCAAGACTCCCGGGTTCATGGCGAGTTTCTGCGGGGTCCACCAGGGGATTTGGAGTCCGACAAGCATGCCATCTTGTCACAGATTCTTGGATTCCAAGTTGTGTAGCTTTGAGCAAGTCACTCTACCTCCCTGAGCCTCAGTTCTCCCAAGTGAGATTAACAATACCTACTTCATGGGCATATCATGAGAATGAAGTGAAATGGCATATGTGAAAGAGCTTTGTGCTTTCCCAGGTGCTGAGCAAGGCTGAGGACTGCCATTGTTGACATCAGTGTTAATATCATTGCTGTGGTTCGTAGGGGCAGTGCTGGAAGATTCTCTAGGAAGGAGTAGGACCCTGTCCTGGACACTCTTAGTCCCTGGGTCCAGAATGGGGCTGATGCTCACTGACTATTCCTGTCTCCAACAGGTCGTTCATGCCCAACTTGGTGCCTCCCAAGATCCCCGATGGAGAGAGAGTGGACTTTGATGTGAGTGGTGGCTGTGGGTTGAGCAGGCCTGGGCTGGGGATAGTCCCAAGGGCTCCCAGTGACAGAGATTTTGTGACCTGGGGCTGGGGTAGAGCACAGGTGGGATGGGTGCAGCACCGGCCAGGGTGGGTGCCCGTCCATGAGTGTGGTCCTGGGTTCAGGCCACAGTTGCCCCTTCCCTGGCCAAGCGCCAGACCCTGCCAGAGGTCTTCTGCATTGTGGTGGGGTGTGTCTAGCCCACCCATCTCTCCCCTGGCCTCTTTGGAGGGGCAGCCTCTGAGCCACAGTGGTCCACCCACAGGACATCCACCGGAAGCGCATGGAGAAGGACCTGAATGAGTTGCAGGCACTGATCGAGGCTCACTTTGAGAATAGGAAGAAGGAGGAGGAGGAGCTCGTTTCTCTGAAGGACAGGATCGTAGGTGTCCCGTCTGCCCACCTAATGTTCTCTGATGGCCCAGTCTGTCCTCCTTCCCTTTCGCGAGGCCCCACCTCCTCCAGACAGCCTTCCCTGGTGCCTCAAACCCAGCTGGGTGTGAGCTCTCCTTCAGGGGCTCTCCGGCACTCTGCACAGCTCCTGCAGCCCTGACTGGTGTCTTGGGTCCCTGCCTGCTCTCCCCACCCGACTGGATGCTCCTTGACCACCAGAGCTGAGTCTGATCTGTTTCAGGCCTCCTCAGGGCCTAATTCAGGCCCAGGCTGTGGACTGGTTGGTCACAGGCCTGCTGCCCCACCCCTGCCCTTGCCTCCTCTTCCCCCACAGATGAAGGTAACTTGAGTGTGACCTGCAGAATCCCACATCCTTCTCCTGCAGATCATGGAGGCTGCTTTGATTGCTTTTGTTTCTCCCCATCAAACTTGCCTTCCCACAGACATGCTGCTCTGGCTGGAGCAATGACTTGGCCATCTATCCAGGCATATGGCACAGAGCAGCTGCCAGGGCAGGGTGGGATGCAGGTGAGGGCAGAGCTCAGGAGGAGCCTGCCTGATGTTTCCCAATTGTGGAGGGTAGTCTCACCATGAGGAATGTTGGAGATGGGTCACCGCAGGTACCCTGCTGTGCATGTCCGTGGAGCTGGCTGAAAGTGGAGGCCCTTGGAGGCCGGGCACCACTGCTTCAACACTCTGGGAGGAACCCCCCCCCCCAGGAATTCCCTTGCCACACCATGCAGGTTTTTGTACCTGCAATGTCACCTTCTCCCTATGCACACCTGGGTGGGCTTTGCCTCTTCGCCTTAGGAGAGACGTCGGGCAGAGCGGGCCGAGCAGCAGCGCATCCGGAATGAGCGGGAGAAGGAGCGGCAGAACCGCCTGGCTGTAAGTGACCCCCAGCCCAGGCCCATGGAGTACCCCCATGCTCCCAGCTCCTGCTGGGCCCCCAGACCCCTCTCTATTCATCAACATGAATGAAATCAGTCAAGAGACAATATTGGCCAGGTGTGGTGGCTCACGCTTACAATCCCAGCACTTTGGGAGGCCAAGGTGGGTGGATCACCTGAGGTTGGGAGTTCGATGCTGCCCTGACCAAATGGAGAAACCCCGTCTCTACTAAAAATACAAACTTAACTGACCATGGTGGCACATGCCTGTACTCCCAGCTACTTGGGAGGCTGAGGCACGAGAATCACCAGGAGGCAATCACCAACCCAGGAGGCAGAGGTTGCAGTGAGCCGAGATCACGCCACTGCACTCCAGCCTGGGCAACAAAAGCGAAACTCCATCTCAAAAAAAAAAAAAAAAAAAAAAAAAATCATCAATATCAACCTAGGAAGTGCTGGACATTGTCTTGGTTCTGACAATGTATCAGCAAACCAGAGAGAAACGCCTGGGTCCTTATGAACGTGTTATTTTAAAACACTCTCCAGCCCTCATCCCTTCCCCAGTGCAGACTTCGTGGGAGCTGAAGGCCCCATAGCTTTCTTCTGTGCAGCTGCTGAAGGCATTTCCAGAGCAACAGGTCTTCCAGAGGCACTCCCAGCTTGAGGGGGTGACGAGTCCTCACATTTCGGAATCAGGACCTCATTCATTCACACAGTCATTTCTCAGTCAGTGGACTCCTGTGGGCCAACCCTGTGCTGGGAGCTACCCCCTCAGAAAGCTCCTTGTCCAGCGGACAGAAAGCTGAGCTCACCCATAAAGACCATAAGCTTCAGCCCAGAATTGGGGTTTCCCATCCTTTCCCCTAATTTGCTTTCTTCCTGCTTGCTGTAAATCAGGAAGAGAGGGCTCGACGAGAGGAAGAGGAGAACAGGAGGAAGGCTGAGGATGAGGCCCGGAAGAAGAAGGCTTTGTCCAACATGATGCATTTTGGGGGTTACATCCAGAAGGTAGGTGGGGAGCAGCAGGGGTCGCCAGGAGGTCCTGGTATAGCCCTGAGGAATGAGGTGTCCACTGCAGCAGGTAGACTTTAGGTCAGATGCCAGGAAGGGATTCCCAGCTCTTGTGGGTGGGAGACTGAGGTCTCCTCATGCCCAGCCCCTGAGCTGGTTTTCAGCCTGACGGTGACTTGCACTAGGAAGGGCCTGCTGGGATAGGGGCTACAGGCAGAGCCTGGGGCACCAGTGGTGTTCCCCATGCCTGGCCCCAGCAGTGCTCAGGAGCCCTCAAGGAGGCTGGGTGCAGCTGGAAGAGCCTTGTGCCTACAGTCAGAGCTCTAGTTGGAGACCCAACTCTGCCACATGCAGTTGCTTTTGCAACCTCTGAGCCTCAGTTTCCTTAACTGGCACTCGTATTGCCTGCCTTGATGCTTTGAGAAGCCCAGATGAGCTACCATGGAAAGCGTCTATGTGCCACACAGATGTGAGGTTGTTTGTTCCTGGAAACTGACTCTCAATCCCTAACTTTTGGGCCCCATTCCTCCTAGATCCTCCATTCTCAAGGGAGGAGGGGTATGTGAAATTTATTTTCTCTGGGTAGGGAAGGAATAAAAACATTTTCTTAGATTTCCAGCTTAGTCCCCAGCTCAGAACTAGGCCACCCCCTGCCTCTGCCCCCATGGTGACCACACCAGCCAAGACTTTGGCATCAGTCTATCAAACAGCCCCTGCTGTAACCCCCAGACCCACGTCCTAGTAAAGCCGGCTGCCTACAGCGAGTGTCTGAATCTTCTTTTCCGTGTCTCTTTGCCTTTGTCTTCCCGCCTTCTCTCTGTGTCTCTGTTGCCGTCTTGGTCTTTTTCTCTGGGCCTCTCTCTCATGGTTTCCCGGTTTAGCAGGCCCAGGTGGGTACCAAAAACCTTACGCCTTCTTCCTCCCCATAGTTTTGGGGAGCTCCCTGGGAGGGAAAGGCGCCTTGCTGGAGGGAAGGAGTGAAGAGATTGGGCTGGCTAGGGACGGGGGGAAGCTGGTGAGAAGCGGAAGAGATTAGTTAGGCAAAGAAGGAAGAGGCTGACATGATCCTCCTTGCCCCGCCTCAGTTTCCCCAGGGAATGCATGTAGCGTGGGGTGTGGCAGGAAGACGAGCATAAGAACCTGGCCCTCCTACAGGCCTTGCTCCACCCCCACGGGGTTTGGGGAGGGTTAGGGGACAGGGAGGGGGCAATCTGGTCAGTTTTCTCTGCTTCCCACACCCTTCAGACAGAGCGGAAAAGTGGGAAGAGGCAGACCGAGCGGGAAAAGAAGAAGAAGATTCTGGCCGAGAGAAGGAAGGTGCTGGCCATCGACCACCTGAATGAAGATCAGCTGAGGTGGGGGCTGGGAGGAGGGGTCCTGGGGCACTGCCCGCATCTGCTCCGGGAGGGGTCGGGCCGAGGGCACTTCTTGTATGAGCCACCAGAGGGCGTGACTGCCTCACATATTTTCCCACGGCAAATTCGGTGGGACCAGAGCTGGGCTCCAGCAGGTCGGGCCAGCTCCTTTCTGGGCTTTGTTGATGGGCAAAGAGAACTGAGCAGGTGCCCCATCTCTCTGAGCTTCATCTTACCCACCTGCACACGGGTGTCAGTACAGGGGACTGAACTAGATGCTCTCCTGCGCCAGAAGGGCTTCTCCCGCTCCCTGTTTGTTCTTGGAACTTTGCCCTGGCAGCCCCTGGTGTCCATTCCTGAGCACTGGGTGCTGCCGTCTGGTCCCCAGGCTGGGTCAGGCCCAGGGGGTGGGCTGGGGTACCCTTGGCAGGCCTGGAGGTGGGAAGGAGGGCTGGAACCCTGGGGGGTGAACCGGGACCAGGACGGAAGCCCAGGAGGGCCCTTCCTTACTGGCCCTCACCCCATTCCCACCCTCGCCTGTGCAGGGAGAAGGCCAAGGAGCTGTGGCAGAGCATCTATAACTTGGAGGCAGAGAAGTTCGACCTGCAGGAGAAGTTCAAGCAGCAGAAATATGAGGTGGGCTGCCATGCTGTCCCCGCCCAGTGTCTCCAGCTCATGCTCCTCCTGGTTCACTGCGTCCCATAATACTGCTCCAGGTCCCTGGGTCCCTGTCCCTATCCCCCACCAGCCCCCTTCAGCTCCTGCATCTGCCCCTGCTGCCTGGCCTTCAGCAGTGTTCCATGTCCACCGCATTGACAACTGCTTGCTGGAAGTGTCTGAGAGCTTGCTGGTGCTGAGCAGAGACACTTTCTTGGGGTTCCAAACCTGGGGGTCTCCAACACATCGAGGCAGCAGCTCAGTGATCTGAGCTGGATACAGGGACCAGGATGCACCAAGCCAGGACCCCCAGTGGAGGGGGAGGGCTGCCCTCAGAGAGGTGCTTCTCCCCACGTACTCCTCAGGCCCTGGTGTGGTCACAGATAGGCTGAGCTTCAAGCCCACAGTCTTTCAGGGTCCTATGTGCACTAATGAGGGTCCTAGGCAAGGAAATGGCTTAGAGGACACGGATGCTACATCCCTGAGCTCGGACCTGGGCACCAGTCCTTCCTTCCCTACCCAGTCCCTCAACCCCAGCCCTGGGGCCTCTTTGCTGACTAAGGGAAGAATTCAGCTTCCCCTGGAGGGTCTCCTCTGCTGCTCCTGCCAAACCACTCCTCCCTGGGTAAGAAGCCCTAGGGGCTACAGGGCACTCCCACCTCCCAATATGGAGAGAGGCTGTATTGCCTGGTGACAATGGCATGGACTTTGGAGCCATAATGCCTGACCTGTGCCCCTCACTGGCTGTGTGACGTTGGGTGAGTTAGTCTACTGTTCCTTGCCTCCATTTCCACAGGTAACACTACGATCTACTTCACAGGGTGATTGTGAGGGTTACAGAGATAATACTAATTATTATTATTACTATAGTGTTCCAATCACTGTTCCCAGCACGTCCCATGTATTAACTTATGACGCCCTCATAGCAGTCCTATGGGTTCATATCTGGGAAGGTGCTCGGGACAGAGCCTGGCACCCACTAAATGTTCAGCAGGTGTCAGCCATTGTTATGGCCTCTCTAGGCCTGCGTCTTCCACTTTTTTCTTTTTTTTTGGTTCCACACTGAACTCTGCACTGACCAACAGGATACAGATTTGCCAAACTTTGGGGCAGCGCCCTGCAGGGGTGTGCATAGGGATGCTACCCCTCAAAGGGCACAGCTTCCGGGATGGTGGACAGCTGGGTCGGGGAGCCCCAGAGGGGTCTTGGGCTGGGCTGCTAGGAGAGCTCCATGACACAGCCTCCAGCTTTGTGCCCAGCTCTCAGAGGCCCTCCTTATGGGACTCTCATCCTGGACCTACTATGCCCCTGGAACCCCACAGTGAGAGGCCCATGAGGCATCCTGGAAGCTGCTCCTTGGCTTCTGCCTGTGGCACACGGGCCCCTCCTGACCCTTGACTATCCTAACCCATCCTACTCTTCGATGCTCCTCCTTCTACTGCACCACTGCACTCAGCCCCCTTCTCCCCATCCCCAGGCCACCTGGGACCTGAGCCAGTCAGCTTCAGTGTTGCTCTTTGTTCTTCCCACTTTTCTTGCAGATCAATGTTCTCCGAAACAGGATCAACGATAACCAGAAAGTGTAAGTGTCTGAGGTCATCCTCGCTTAGCCCACCGCCTGTCCCCTCCTTCCCTACCTTCCAGCCATCCCATTCCTCCTTGGAGCGCACCAGGCTCCCAGGCTTTCCTCCTCTGCTTCAGCCCACAGGTTTCCTTCTCCGGGTCCTCCGGGGCCTCGTGCTTCTCTCCCTGTGGCCTCTGCTTGCTGGTGGGTGTGGGATATGGGGCAGAGAAGCCTCCCTCCAGCTTCAGGCTGCTGCCCTATTCTGCCCCTGGAGGCAGCTCCAGGCTGCTCCTCTCACCTTTGGCACCCCCATCCTACCCAAGCCCCATGGTGACCTGCTACCCTGCCTGTGTGTCCATGTCACTGGGTCCTGCTTCCCCTGCAGCTCCAAGACCCGCGGGAAGGCCAAAGTCACCGGGCGCTGGAAGTAGGGCCCAGCCTCCTTCACCAAAGATCTGCTCCTCGCTCACACCTGTCTCCGGCCTGCACTCCCCTAGTTCCTGGGTCCTCCTGGGCACCCCGGACAGCTCCTGTTTGGAAATGGGGAGCTGGTCTAGGTGGGAGTCACCCCTCCTGCCTGCTCCCACACCCACTTCACACCTGTAATAAAAATCCACCACACACTGACTGGCATTTCTGTCACTTCCCCTTCAGAGAGAGAGAAACTGAGGTGAGACGTTGGTCTCACAGGCCCCCGGAATCTGCCAGGCTCGGAGGAGCTTTCCCCTGTCTGGTCTCCCTGCTTGCCTCCAGCTGGGGAGAGGGTGGAAGGCCCAGGTACAGCCCAGGAAGCAAGAGCAGTGGAAAGGACTTCTGATCATAGCTCCTGGGAGTCACCGAAACAGCACATGGGAAAAATGCTGTTGAGGGGGACAGAGCATTCCCTGTGTGAGTCACTCACTGGAGAACAATGCAGGCCTCTTTGGATGGTTCCCATTCTCTTTCTCCTCCTAGCCAGGGCCCTAGGAACCAGGTGTCTGAGGGACAGGGAGCTCTTGAGGAAGGAAGGAAGGCAGGTTTTATTGGGCAGCCATTCAGGTCTGAGTTGTTAAGAGGTGTGGGTTAATCTGGGTGCCTCAGTTTCCCCCTCCCATGATCTGCACATCCTCGAGGGCTTAAACCACAGGGTCCAAAGCTGAAGAGGACAGCTTGGTGGCATGGATTTCAGTTGGCAGAAAGACAAGGAAACGATGAGAGGGCACCATCCTCCTCTCCAGAGGAAAGCCTGAGAGGACACATTCTCTTGACCCTTCATCCCTTTGCTAGGCATGGAATTTCTCCCAATTCCCGATTCCTTCCCTTGGCTCCCACTTGCCACCCATCAGCAAGTGCCTGATGAGCTGTGTCTGGAAAGGCTTCCTGTGGTCTCCCAGCCAGAGCGAATCTACTTCTGCTTGCTAGAGCATGTGCTGTCACAGCTATGCCACCCAATGTCACACTCTGTTAGACTCATCTCTTCCTGCAGGCGTGGCTCTCATGCTCCCAGGAGAAAATGCAGACCTGTTATCCGGTGCTGTATGCCAAGCACTGGGATCCATGTGGTGAGAGATGAAGAGGAAATGGTCCTTGGGCCACAGGGAGGGTCTTAGCCTGGGGTCTCGGCCTCATTTCTTATTCATTCATTCATTCAATCATTCAAATACCTCCTGAGCACCAACTATACGCTAGACACTGTGCTGGGTGTGGGGTGCTGTGATTTAAGCCAGCACATTCCTCATGGAGCTCACAGAGCTCACATCCAGCAGCAGGGGAACAGCAAGCAGAGGTCCCAGCCTTGGGTGACAGAGGAGGGTGGGGGGTGTGATGCTGCGGAGATGCATAACCCTGGCAGGTGGGAAGGCTTTCTGAAGGAAAGAGTGTCTAGGCCAAGTGCCAGAGGGTGAGGAGGGGAAAATCTAGGGGAAGAGGTTGGGGGTGAGGCTGGGAATGGCACTTAGAAAGTTCGAGAAGCAAGAGCCAGCATAGTGTGTTTGAAGAGATACAGTTATTAGCAGAATCCAAGCATCTTCTGGTGGGGACAAGAAGGCTCCATCATAAGTGCCCCCACAATGGACAGGGAGGCAGGATATAGGCCTCAGGCCCAAGGAGGGCTCTCACCATGGGCTCTGGGAGACCCACTGGTAGCTCCTGGCATGTGCCAGCCCTACTCTCCCAGTTTGCCAGATAGGACAGCTGGGGCAGTGTCCTAGCCCCTCTCCCCATAAAGAGGCATTGCACCCCACCCCCACCTGCCGCCTTGGCTCTACCTCCTATGCCTCGGTGTCTCCTTGGAGCAACAAGAGGTCACGATGGGTCCTGTGTCTGGGGCCCTGTCTCCCGCTCCCCCTCTCCCAGCAGGGTCCTTGTGATCATTTCTCTAGTACAGTGGTCCCCAACCTTTTTGGCACCAAGGACCATTTTCTTGGAAGACTATTTTTCCATGGACGGGGTGGGGTGGGGAGGAAGAGTAGGGGTGGGTGGGTGGGGGTGGTTTCAGGATGAAACTGTTTCACTTCGGAGCGTCAGGTAATAGATTCTCCTAAGGAGCCTGCACCCTAGATCCCTCGCACGCACAGTTCACAGTAGGATTCGCACTCCTATGAGAATCTAATGCTGCTGCTCATCTGACAGGAGGCGGAGCTCAGGCGGTCATGCTCGCCCACCCACAGCTCACCTCCTGCTCTGCAGCCTGGTTCTTAACAGGCCAGAGACTGGTACAGTCCGGTCCGCAGTGCAGAAGTTGGGGACCCCTGCTCTAGTAGATGTGGTCTCTCTTTTAAAAATTGTGCCCAGGCCGGGCGCGGTGGCTCATGCCTGTAATCCCAGCACTTTGGAAGGCCGAGGCAGGTGGATCATGAGATCAGGAGACCGACACCATCCTGGGCAATATGGTGAAACCCCTTCTCTACTAAAAAAAAAAAAAAAAAAAAACCGGGCATGGTGGTGCGCGCCTGTAGTAGTAGGGCTCAAGAGGCAGAGGCAGGGGAATTGCTTGAACCCGGGAGGTAGAGGTTGCAGTGAGCCGAGATTGTGCCACTGCACTCCAGCCTGGCGACAGAACGAGACTCCGTCTCAAAAAAAAAAAATTGTGCCCAGAGGTGGGCACAGAAGACACCTTGTCCTCTGACTCTGAACAGCCCCTAAGACCAGGTCCCACTTAATTGCTTTTCTCCTAAGGTCACCTGGTGTTCAGGAAAGAACTTCGGAGTGCCCCAGACACTGCCCCCATGGGAGCCTCACTCAGTTGAGGTCACCATCCCGTCATCTTAAGAGGAACACCACAGGTTAACCCAAGTGCTGCCTCTAGGCAGAAGATCTGCAGACACCTGGTCTGCATGGAACCTGGAGCACTAGTCCATAAGTGGAGCCTGGGAAGGGGACTTTGTCCTATCCCAGGACAGAGGAGAGAGCAAGTGAGTGCCGGGGTGCAGGGGCACACCTGGTCCATCAGCCCAGTGCAGGGAGTCCTGCCAATTTCAAAAGGCAAGGGTGAGGGTTTCAGGCCAAGTGATCCTGTGCTCTCCCTATGGTATTCCTAGGGAACAGAAAGATCATGGATGTGTGCACAGAACACACTGAGATAGCTTCATAGATAGGGTCTCCACACGCCCTCCTCAGTTCACCTGCCACTTCCATCACTCTTGTGCTTATGATGGTCCTGAACCAAACACTGAAGGTGCAGCAGTGGCCAAGAGCTGGCCTGGGACTCCTGACCACTGAGGAGCTGGATGTAGCGGGGTGAGTTGATGCCCACCCAGACACCCTGACCCCCAGTGTCCCCACTGTCCCCTGCAGGGACCTCCTTCTACGCCCCTCAGATTCCATCTCACTCTACTTTCAATCTATGACCCGTTGCCTCGTGGGCCTCTCAGCACCCTGTGTACACCAAACGCTCAGGGAAAATTACTTGCAGGCTCTTCTCAGCCCTGAGTCAGAGGTGAAGACTCTTCTGCCGTCCTGTCATCAGATTCGTTCTCCAAACAAGCTCTCATCCCGGGCAGAGCTCGTTCATGTGATGCCCACTTTAGAGGTAGAGCTGGGAGAGAACAAGGTGTTCCCCCAGGGCTCCCTCGCCTGGGAATACAGCTCCTCCAGCTGAAGCCCCCATGCTCTGAAGCTAGAGCCTCACTTTCTCCCATCAAACTCTGGCTCTGCCCCTTCTCACTCTGGGATTTTGGTCAAATTCCTTACCTTCTCTGTGCTTAAGTTCCCCTCTCTAGACAATGGGGATTGTTATGAAGGCTAAATGAAATAAACATGCAGTAACTAGCACAGTGTTTAGTGCATAGTGTGTAATCAGCACGAGCCACTGCTACTGCCTTCTGGATGAGAACACGTTATCAGCCTTTCTCAAGGGCTCAAAGTCTGCAGAAGAGTTCATCCATGCTGGGTCTGGGCTGGCCCCTCCTTGCCTGTGTGGTTTTAGGGAACTCTTCAATGGCTCCTCTTTCCTCCTGGATTCCACGGCCTGGCCTTCTCCCTGACCAGATAGACCACCAGGTGTTGGGGGTGGGCGGGAGTTGCTGCTACAGCTGTCCCTCCTGGCAGGTGGTTCAGCCTGTGCCACTATCTGGATGGAGGTGCCAGAACTTGTTCCCAAGTCAGGCTCCACTCCCCACTCTGCAGCTTGATTTCTGGGAAAGGTGGGGCAGGGCCTGAGCTTCCAGGGAACCCGCCCTGGTTGAGGGGAACAGCTGGGCTCAGGGATATGTCCCAGGGCCAGGCTCTTCAATAGGCTCCTCTTGGGTATGGGGCAGGCTGGGGTTCAGGGGAGACTAGGCTGGACCCCATGTTCCCACAGTGTAGCCGCAGATGCTCACTTGCCTCTCTGGGCTTGGCTTCTCCTCTGAAAGCCCAGTCTGCCCTGTCATCCCTACCAGGAGGAAGACTAAGTGTGAATTTGGGGAAATGCTGCTGATCTGGGTCAGCTCATCTTCTCCCCCTGCACACATACCTTTCATGTGTTTCTCGCTCTATCACCCATGCAGGCGCTGGGCCAGCTACCTTACACCTGTTCTCTCCAGCCAACCATCCACAGTCCCCAGATCACACCACATGTTGCAGATGAGGAAACCGAGGTACAGAGAGTTTAGGCAACATGCCAAGGGCCATTCAGTTAGTAAGTGGCAAAGCTGGGATTTGAACCCAGGTCTATGTGACACCAGAGCCAGGATTCTTCCCAACATGTGGATCTTGTAGATTGAGGAGCACCCCAAATCTCCCCAGACTGCAGTGCTTGGGCCAGAATCAGAGCCTCCCGTGAGCTGGCTGGGGGTGAAGGCACAGGGCATGAGTCCAGGAGCTCGACTCTCTGTGCTCTCCTCCAGCTGCCCACCTGGGACCTGACAGGAGGAGATGTGCTATGTCCAGCACGTGGAGGCGGCCTCTGGAGGGAACAGTAGAGGTGGGGTTGAGTGGGGCTTTACCCAGGGTTCGAGAGAATTGTCAGCATCCTCCTCCTTCTTGGGAGTAATTACACCCTGTACCTGTGTCCCAGAGTAGTTGGGGGGATCTGTGTGTGATGGAAGCACTTGTCATTACCTTGTCTGTGGGTTACCCCTCAACTCTGCAAAGACAGTGAGTAAACCTCAGGGTGGGTAGAGTCCTGGGTCTAGATACCAGCAGGGCCTATCTGGCTGTTGTTGGAG